ATCAGTCGCCCAGTCAGCCTGTTTCTTTTGTATGAGGTTATAGGCAATATTAGTGATAATATATTCTACGAATTGATGGAGAGACTTGAGCTTGCCATTTTCTTGCATCGTCCAACTCAGCTCAAGAGAGCATTTTCATCCACAAGGGGTCATACTTTCGACCGTACATAAGTCTTGTTAGCCGTCCAAGAGCTATTTGAACATGTAGACGTGCTGGGTAAGAGGCAACACTTTATGCCCTAGGTCCAATAAGATAATATGAATTATAATGTCAGTAGAGTTTCGAAACTACCAGTAAATCAGTAATATTAGATGTATTCACCTTATTTCGCTTAAGGTGATGAAGGAGTAGTAGTAGAATTTTCCCACAATGATATGTGTAGAGCTGACGTTTCCATTGAAAGTTTTCTCAAAAGATTTTCTCGTCCAGGCACCAATGGAGTGCAGTTTCGACCTCGCCTCGGTCCTATCAACAACCCCAGTGTGAGTCGAACCGTGACAGTGCAGCATGCGAGCTTGACACGTTAACCACTCAGCCAGATTGCCATGAGTGCGCTTGGGACACAGGGCAGATGTGAATTTCAAGGAAGGCCAAGTCTTTTCCCATATCACATTCTTTGGTGGGATTGTCAATGAAGCAAACGTATTTTTGCTATGACAATCGACTACGCTACTTATTTTTCGTATGTGAGTAGAGTTTCGAGACTACCAGTAAATCAGTAATATGAGAAGTATTCTTCACCTTAAACGAAATGGGGTGAATACATCTCATAATATGAATAATAAGACAAAACCGCATCAAAATCCTTGTTGCCAGTAGGTCAAACGACCAAACATGCTTTTCCCATTAAATTGTATTCGAGTGAATAGCTTAAACGAGATATAATTATTCACTAAAAATGATAGTATCCTTTTGCTCTGTGGATAAGTGATCAGCTCTTGATGCATTTAAGGGAGGAATTGGATTTTTCATTAAAATGCACTGTCATCCAGCCAACCAGTTGGTCAAAGAGCCAGTCTTTCAGTCGGCCACTCAAACTACCCGCTTCCGCCTTCTTTACTTAAAGGCCCTTGATAAGTTCTTTGCGTTTGCGATGCGAAAGAGAGTTGTCGATGAGTTTCTAATTGACAGGCTTCAAGAGCCGGATGCGGGCCTCTCATCCATGAATATATTGCTGTATAATCTAGATGTATACATTTGTAGACACACATAAGAGAGTAGGAAAACGGGTGATGGGGAAGAGAGTACAAGGAGAAAGAACGAATGTCAGATCTCTAGACCAGAGGAATTTTTGAAGAGATGGCTCTAGTGTGGCGGAAGGAGGGGAATGAGGCAAGTAGAAGAATGTTGTAGTGATAGAGCATGTGGAATGGATGCGAGGGAACAGGAGGATTTTGCGAAGACTGGACACTGCAGCTCAGACGCCCCTCCCCTTCGTGCGCGCCTGTACTCAGTCATGCAAACACTACCCTGTCCGAGAGGGCCTTTTGTTGTTCTCCCCACCGGAGGGGGCGTGACAGACACTACTCACTGAAAAGCGATCCACAAGTGGCTGCTTTCCCCCAACGCACATACATTCCAGTCATCACCCGTCCGACCAGCGTTGTTCCAACCACAGACATCGTCGCCCGGAACAACAGAAGCAACGCCAGCGCTGGCAACAGGCACCGATGACATTGGCAACTGCAAAGGCTGGCAGGACGTCTACTCTCATGTCTGCGCAGTCCTGGTCCTAGTCCAGCTTCCTAGTCTGGTTGGTACAGACGTCGAAAAAGACCTTTTGATCGGCTCTCCCTTCGGTCGAATGAGCAATCGCTTCGTCCAGGTTACCAATAGGTAATAAGCTGATCAAGCCGGTTATGTATGGATGAGAGAACATCTTCCATATGTAGGTTGGTCCACATACATTGTTGAGCAGGCTTCCATTTCGTGTGAAAGGGTGTGATAAAGAGACCCGAAGATCGAGCCCACGAGACGACGCCGGCTATCAGATGATACGTTCTGTCCTAATTACTATTGGTTACATGCAAGCACATATAAAAACAGCAAAGTATGCACAAACAGGCACACACACTTTTTAATAGATTTACTTGAACCCTACATAATTAATGTATGCCTCGTCATAATACATACATTTTGAATATATGTATTTCTTGAATAAGGCTGTATCAGTGATAGACTGCTCTGATGATGTCCGTCATAAGACGAAAAAATCTTATCTACTTTTCACCGAGATTGAAGAAGATTTGTGGAATGTGTTTGCCCTACTTCACCTAAAGTGAAGAAGGACTGGTAAGTGAATTTTTCTGCAATCATATGAGTAGGCCGTACGCTTTCATTGAATTTCACATAAACTTACTTCTCATAAGGTATTCTTCTCCTGAAATGGTCCCGCCAGCACCCCTAGCGGGACTCGAAATGTGGTAGTGCAGCATATAATCGAGACACGTCAAGCACTACGTTGCACTTGCACAAGTCTCCTTGGGTCAACGGGCGGATGCGAATTTCAAAGAAGGCAAGGCATTTCCCATATCACTTTCTTTGGTGGGATCTCCGATCAAGCAAAGTTATATTTGCCATAGGAATCGACTGCATTACTTATTTTTCGTTTCTAAGTAGGTTCCTGAGATTGCTAGTGGACCAGATATTTGGGGTGCACTCACCATGTTTGTACTTCATCACATCAAATAAAATAGAGTAATTACATCCCATATATCTGATCCCATCACAGAATGTGATATATAAAAAATCTTGGCCTTTCTTGATATTCACATTTGACCTGTGACCCAAGGACATTTGTGGCAGTCTGACGAAGTGGATATCACGTCGAGATTATATGCTGCACTACCACAGTTCGAGTCCCGCTGGGGGCGCTGATGAGACAATTTCAGGCGGGATCAAAACTGCAATCCGCCACATACAGAATGATAATACCTTCTGAGAAACGAGGCCATGTGAAATTAAATGGAAACTTAGAGTCTCCGCATATCATTATGGGAAAATTCAACTTGCAGTCCTTCATCACCATAAACAAAATAGGGTGAACTTATCTCACATATACGATCAGCTTGTAGTCTCGAAAACCTACTTTTGAATTAGAAATAATATGAGGTGATTGCCTAGGAAACAGCGTCAACAAGAATGTTCCAGTAAACCAATTGACAGCTGACAAAGAAAGAATCTACAGTCTTCTTCTGGTAGGGTCAACCTTTAAATCGCCGCCTCAGCACACACTGTCAATCGAAATGAAAATAAGCTCAACACTTACAAACCAAGAGACACCTCGAAGCACAAATTTATGTTTAAAAGTTGTTTGACCTTGTTTTCGCAACTTGGTCATATTGGTAGAAAGACTTAGAGGAACGCACCTTGTCCTAAGTCAATTGTATGCATAAATATTTCCAAAGTCGGACCGTGGACGCGGTACATTCCCAGACGTTTCGCCGGCATCGTAGTAGGCATCGTCAGTGAGTTTTACCATTCGTAGCACCATATTACAACTCGTCAAAGAGACTTGTCAAATAACTCCTATACAACGAAAGGAGACTGCGACCACGCAAAAGGTCACATCATCTTGGTCTTCATATCTTCGAACAAATTTATGTTACCTATAGTCAAAATGCAGATCAACAAAGCATGTCTTGATGCCGAATTCTCGCCAGGACCGCAATTTAAGTGGGATCGCCCACTGGACGTATCCAAAGAGGACCCAGATACTCATCGAAGTAGACCAATTTCGACAATGAAGAGAGCTCTTTGTTTTCGCCTAAACGCCCACTTTGTCGGGCAGCCCAAAAGGTGGTTACCATCCAGGCTGGATTGCAGTGAATTATTCTAGAAGTTAGGATCGATCTTTCAGAGCTCAATTTCTTTCAAAAGTAGATACCACTCATACAAGCAGGCTGGTACTGATAGAATTGCGCCTGTGCTGATATATCCTTTCTGTCCACCAGACCTAGTAGCCAACTGTAAGCTTGGAAATGCCTCTCTGGATTGACTTATATCTGCCCTTTAACCAAATATCTAGTTGCTATCCCCTCTCACTTCCAACTATACACACTCACACTTACATGTAATGCATAAATACATGCACCGTAGACGAAGACACATGAACCTGGTTTATGCTGTTTGGTCTTGCTTCACGTCTAGAAAATGATGATAACGAGCGCACTCTGACACAATGCGCAAGAAGCGGAAGTGTGGTACCAAAGTGCTGCCTGTACGAGAGGCTTTAGGAGTTTAGTGCTCTCGACAGGGTCGGATAATCTTCTAGGTTTTTCCGACATTTCCGCTTTTTTGGTTAGCTCTTCCTTGTTCTGGTCCCTCCGGTTGCAACAGAAGTCACGATTCCAACCAGCCGGCTCCACGACCCCCCCATCCGGGCTCAAATCCCAGTTATCACATGCCCGTCCATACGTCTATCCGCGTCTATCTGTCCACGACGAGTAAACCGTTTTATTTATTTCCAATACTTGTCTAAATGTCACACATCGCCCCACCCATCTGTACCGCCTCAATTGCTGGTAGAAAGATGATTGACTTGGCCCTCTCGCGGTTATGCTCCGCACTCTTCAGGCCTCACTCATCTTCTCTAAATGCTTATCTGAGCTTAGGCCTGTTCTCCTTCCCATGGCCTGTGCCCACCGTTGTCTACCCTCTTCGCACAGCTTCCAGAAACCCCAGTTGCCGCCCCCCCACGCCCATTCATACCCGTTCAGCCAGCTGCGGGTAAGTGACGCACTGCACTGCCTGACTCTTGGTCAACCCGTCCGAGTGGTTCCCAACTCCCAAAGTGAGGCTGTGGGTGAGCAAATTAGACATTTTTCCCCGTTGAAAAGGGGGTACCGGTTAGGCACGGACTGGTGGGCCGAATGGGCTTGGAGAAGTAGAGGCTGAGGTAGAGAGGCCCAACAGTGATGGCTCGGTGCCGAGATGGCGACTGTCGGACTGAGACTTCGGAGGACTTACGGCTCCGCTAGGACAGAGGAGAAAATTACACTTTAGTCCGTAATGTCACATTTTAGGGAATTTTCGGACCCTCTCCCCAAAACGGTCTGTTACAGGGTTTTGTGTTCATGTGGTTGCGTCTATGTGGAGGGGACTTGTCGACCCATACACAAGAGGCTAACCGAACATGAATTAGTCTGTAAATGGTCGTGGTTCCAAAACTCAGAACTCGCCAAACATGCGGCTCACACAGGACACCGGATGGACTGGTGAAAGACCAAAAGGTTAGCTGGGCGTAAAGAGTATATCATTAAACGGTAATCCCTAGAAATCAACAAAACAGCCAACATCCTGAATAGTTGGAATAAATAAGGGAAAAGAAGCGGAAATGGCTTGTTTCTGTTGGACAAAATGAAAGAGAGAAAGATAGGGAGAGATAGAGAGGGAGAAAAAAGGAGACAAAAAATACCGCCGATTAAGAAGAGGCGTTATTTGCCTCAAATATAGGCTTCACTTTCCCACTCCACGTGTCTCAAGGGCATTGCAGTATCACAATACAGATGCAATGAAAAGAAATCAGATGCGTCAAAATTGCAGGATCAAAATATAAATTATTTTTGGGAGGATGGCACTCTTTGGTCACAATGAATCCGCTTCACTTTTCAACAAGCACGTGGAAAAAACATAGGATGATCAAAAAAATCATGAAATGTCGTATTAAGTGGACAAAGTAGGGCTACAAAAAGTACTGTTTTCGTGACTACCAGTAAATCAGTAATATGAGATGTATTCACCCTAATTTCGTTTAAGGTGATGAAGGACTGGTAGAAGAAGAATTTTCCCACAATGATATGAGTTGAGCTGACGTTCCCATTGAATTTCACATGGCTTTGATTTCCCAAAAGTTGTTCTCATCCAGGCAGCAGTGGACCGCAGTTTCGACCTCGCATCGGTCTTATCAACACCCTCAACGGGAGTCGAACCCCGACAGGGCAAGATGGGAGCTCGACACTCTAACCACTCGGCTACACTAACGCGAGCGCCTTTATGGGTCACAGGGCAAATGTGAATTTTCACGGAAGGTCAGGTCTCTTTGCTATATCATATTCTTTTGGTGGAATTGTCGATAAGGCAAACGTATATCTGCTATAACAATCGACTACTATACTTTATTTTTCGATTTAAGTATTGTTTTCATGACTACTAGTAAATCAGTAATATGAGATGTATTCACCCAATTTTATTTAAAATGATGAAAGACTGGTAGAAGAAGAATTTTCCCACAATGATATGAGTTGAGTTGACGTTTCCATTGAATTTCACATAGCCTTGCTTTCCCAAAAGTTGTTCTCACGTCAGCACAATTGATATAATTGTGGGAAAATATTCTTCTACCAGTCCTTCATCACCTTAAAACGAAATTGGGTGAATGCATCTCATATTACAAAAAGTAGGTAGGATTATGGCTGGCCACCTTTGCTGTTTTTGTACTTGGTGAATTACTGTAAAGCATAGTGTCCGGCTCCCACGATTTCCGAGCAGTGACGGTCGAAAGCTCAGTAACGATTCGTCAGGGTCGCAGGACTGTGAGCCGAGGAGTAATTCGTACAAATCTACGTTCATAGCTTCCGGTAAAACCTTTGAATTCTCTTCTATAAGCGGAATGAACGATAATCTACATCAATCTATTATAGGATTCTTCGAATACCCGTCTTTCTACATATCCGCTAAAACCGTCCGACTCGGAAGAGCACAAGCCAAATAATTCGGGGCGTCAAGCGGATGGACACGGAGAGGATAGACGCCTGATCTAGTTTAGGTTTTAGCAATAACTCAGGGGCAAAGAGCCTGCAACCAAGAGTCGGTTGGACATTGAAAAGACGATGCTGAAATCCCTTGACCTGACAATCATCTTCGGCTCAAATTAAGATGGGATGAGCCTTCGTCTATCGGGCCACTTGGCAGATGTCTTCCGAGTTAAATGTCATTCCACAAAAACTTTAACTTAAAATTGGTATAAATACACATACGTGTAAGCATAGAGGAATAGATATATATGCACATGCATTGTTGCACTTTTCACACGGTTTGAAAGGCGGGTGGAGAGGATTCGTAAAT